CAAAATGCATACAAGAACTGGACTTACAGAAACACCACGGAATCTATATAGGCGTCTAGATATATCGCCGTTCATTCCCCTTGACATAAGGATAGAAGTTTGCCTAAAATTTGTACTTCAACTGTCCCTTGTAATTTCGCAAGTTACACTACAGTCACTATAAAAAAAAGCAAAACTTGAAATTTACAAAATAGCAGTCGTCAAGTCAGTTAAGCTGATTTACGTTTTTCCTTCCGCGTTTATTTTTATACCCACCACTGTAAAATGGCGACATACTCATTTTGTTTTTTTCATAACACCCAAAAGCTAGCCTCAGAGGTCCTATGAAGAATATATATCCTATCTGTCTATCTACCTATCTATCTATTCTATGTATCAATCTATGTGTACATCTATGTGTTGGCACTCTCCTGGCCGCAAAAATGAATGTATGGATTTACTCTAAAATCGGATGGAATTGGATACTCGAAAATTATTAATGTTAGAAGGCTAACATTTTCCACATTCACTCTACGAAACGGGATGAAACCAATCGTCCATGCCCACACAAAGTTACGTGTAATTACATTTTATTTTTTTCACTTTTCTGAACTTTTACGCTTACTTATCACAAAGGAAAGCTGCTGAAATGAAGATCTATTATCTGCCTAAAAACGAATATGGCGGACGCCGTAATTAACTTTTTTGTTACTACCAGCGATATGGGTATCAAATAAAGGATTTTGGAGGGCAGAGTGCGGAAAACATAGTGGTGCGTATGCGAGATTCGGCCTCTGCCGAATATAACTTTTTTGATTACCTTTGTGCACTAAAATATGTAACAAATAATTATCAAATTATTGCTCTCTGCTTTTGTACACCTGAGTATATCTGAGTGGGGTTTGAAAGGGATCCTCGGCTATTAAGCCATGTGTGAGCAATACCGGGACTTACCCTAATTCTTCAAAACCGGATTTATCCCACGTGTTGCTGTCAGGTACCACCAGAGTGAAATTACCGTTATTAAAGACGTCAAAGAACATCTCGACACCTAAAGTATCGTTAACTTTCTGCGCAAATTCTCGCAAATCATTGTGTCCAATAGCCTAATAAATGAAATTGAAAGAATTATCCTCCTTAATAGCACAACATGTAGACACTTACACCAGGTGACTACATTCATAGATATTCATATTTTATGATAACGCAATTGACAACACATATCCGTTGATTCATTGATAAATTGATAAGTTCCGAAGCGATTTAGAAGAAAACAATAAGATATGTAAGTATTTTCGATTCGCATTAAAATGTACATACAATAAATACGAATAGTTCAGAACATATGCCTTTGAACATACGCATGTAAATGCTTTTCGTTTTTGTTATTATTGTTATTGTGGTTTCCGCTACCTACCTTGATTTGCTAATTGTTGTCATTCGTATTATGATTTTCGATGAAATTATTGGCATTCATACATCGTTAACATCAAAGTCATTCAAAGTTTATTGATCACATTAAATTTCCATGTCAAATAGATATAAAGATTACGTTAGCAAATTTGTTATTCATTTTTAAATTGATACTAAAATATTTATGT